CCTCCCCCGGCCGGATCCCGAAGCCCAAGGAATCTGCTCGAGGCCCGGCTTCGGAGCGCACCCTCGCCTAGAGCCCGCCCGCAGGCCGCGTAAGCTCGGGTCCTGGCCTGGCCGCCACCTGCCGGGGCTTGAAGCCACTTCCTCTTAGAGCCAAACTTTGCCGACCCCACAGCCGGCCCGGGCGCGGCTCAACTTCTCTAGCGCGTCCAGCTGGCGAAACGCGGAAGGAGAGCGGGGAAGGGGAACTGGAAGCCCAGCCCAGCTCCCCGGCCCTCACCCGGGCGGCACCCCGGCCAGACTAGGGGTTGGAGCAGCCCAGGCAGGAGGAGGGGGCGGGGACGAGCCTGGCCCCACCCCTGCCCATCAGCGCGCGCGCGCCCCGCCCACCTGCTGGCCTTAACCCCTTTCCGGCCCTGCTAAGACTTGTCAGATCTGCTTTATGAGCAGGCGCCCAGCCTCCTCTTTTAACTCTGCTTTGCTTAGTCCTTTCGGTGAAACGTTTGTTACAGGACACGCTTGTCAAAGGATAACTGTTTATTCCGTAACTGTTTTTCCTTTGAACCCTTAAGCTCTCAGTACTCGTCCCAGTGTTTGAGATCCCGTAATACTTTTTGTAGTGAGCCTCTATTATAGAAATTACCACGCGCTAACTATTTGTTTACTCGTCATTCCCGCCCCCGCCCCGCCTCTTCTCTGGAAACTAAAATTTCCTGTTTACCTTTGTACCCACAGAGCTTCTCTCCTGCTGCGATGCAATAAGTACTCAATAAATGGTAAATAAAGGATTAAATGTGCCTTCCTCACTTGCTGGCTTTGTGACCTTGAGAAAATTACTTAACCTCTCTGTGCTTCTGAGTTGTAAAATAGGATAATAACAGTGTTAACTATCTCCTTAGTAAGGTTGTCAATCTTTTAGGGAGATAATGCAAGTTGAACATATATGAAGTGCTCCATACCTGGTAATAATTATTATTATTAGTCACAGGAGATATTTTTAATTTACGTGGGCTTGGACTTACCTATTTCTGTGGCACTGATAGGTGATATTAATAAACAATAGCAAGTACTTTTTGAGTTTTTTTTCACTTTTCAGGCACAAATCTAAGCACTTTTCAAGTGTTTGATCTTTTATTTCGCTGAGCAATCTTATGAGGTAGATACTATTGTTACTCCTATTTTACAGATAAGGAAACTTGGGCACAGAAAGGTTGAGTATTTTGTTTAAGATCATGGATTTAATAAATGCTGAAACAATGGTTTGAACCTAGGTAACCTGGCTTTGGACAGAGGGTACATGTGGATCCTTACTACTCTCTCCCTCTATCAATGGTACAAAACAGTTTTCTGTTAATGACATTGGTTTTGATGTGCTCAAAACTGGATCTCCGCAGGGCCTGAAGCCACAGAGTTGGTCATAAAAAGGCCCTTCTTCCTCTTGGATCCATGCCCTTCTTCCCCACTATAGTCCTTGGGATTAATGAGGGGATGAACTAGAACTCTGAATGTGGGAGGAGAATGTTGAGCAAAGGGAAGAGGGGCAAAGAGGTTGGGGGAAATTAAAAATATTTGAATCCTAAAAGCGATCATGGAGCTTTTAGTTGAATACTGGCTGTGTTCTCCAAGCTGGGTATTTGGTTCTACCTGTGTGGATGGAAAATGGGGCCATATACTAAACCTGACAAGCTCAGAGAAGACTGGCATGGTGGGCCCTACAAACTCAGAGACCGAAAGTAACCACATAGAATGATCTGAACATAAAAATTCCTAACTAAAAACAGGTCAAGGCAGTAGTCACATCCTGGGCCTGTAGCTTTTTTTTGACAAATGTCAATCTTTACCTTACTTGAGCCCATCTATTATTATCTTATTGCATCTAAGATAACAGACACTTGAAATGTCAGAATAATCCCTTTTTTCCAGATTCCTCAGGGCACAACCCAATGCTCCAGAGCAGGAGACCACAGAACCCCTCATGGTTTTCTTGTTTCCTGCATACCATCTCTATGTGCTGTAAATATTAATTATTAACTCTCCTGTCCCACCAATGTAAAAGAAATGTGTGTTCCTCTGTTTTACTTTTTATCTAGTCTCAGAGATTTCCCTGCTTTGCTTTCTCTCACCCCCTAATCTACCACCAATGGATGTCATGTAGCCCTCCTTAAATCTCCTCCTTTGAGTCTAATGTATAAAATAAGCTGTAAAACTGCCATTCTCTGTAGCATTTTCTTAATCCGTTAAGATTTTGCTTCTCAACAATTGTCAATTTGGCTCCAATAAACTCATTAAAATTCTCTACAGGTTTGGACATTTCTTATATCAACACCTCGAACTCTTAAAACTTCACTTTAGCTTCAAGGAGCTTAGTCTAGTTAGAAAGAGAGATCAGATACATAAATTAAAAAGCCAGAGAGCCATAGGGAGTACACATGGGAGTGGGCATGTGGGTGATTGGGGAATATGGAAAGGAAGCAGGGAAGAAGGTAGTGAGATGAGAAGAGTTGTGGGGGGCAGGAGAAGGAGGATGAGAGCCCATGGTCTAGGTGTTGAATAAACAGAAATTTGCAAAAAAATAAAATTAAGACCTATGCTGTTGGGAGCAATCATCATCATCATCATCATCATCATCATCATCATCACAAAGAAACAGCACCAGGATAGAACAAAATTTATTCTATAAATATTTATTAGAATGCCTTCCAAGTGCAAGGCACTGTGCTAGACATGTTTAAGAGTGACTTCGAGCAAAAAAAGATGAGGAAAAAATTAAAGAGGACCAAGGTGCTTATAATGAGTTTAAGTTTTAATTAGTTTAGTGAGTTTAAATGTCTGGGCCCATATAAATCACATCCTTGACCATCAAATACCTTTAGGAATGGGCCTATAAAGATGTTCTTAGAAATTTTTGAGGAATTATAAAAAATAGTGTAAGCAGAGGAAAATAGGCAGATGTGTGGATTTCAAAATTGTAATATATATCTATTATAGAGTACTCATCATACGCTAAGCACTGTTCTAGGTAATTCACATATATGATCTCATTTAATCTTCACCACACCTCTGGGAAGTAGGTGTTATTTTTGTCCTCATTTTATAATTGAGGAAATAGCCATAGATAGGTTAGATAATTTGCTCTAGATCAAACTATTAACATGTGCAGGAACCAAGGTGCTATGGCCTGAATGTTTGTGTCCCCAAAAACTCATATGTTGATTTCCTAACCCCCAAAGATGATGGTATTAGGAAATGCGCCTTTGGGAGATGCTTAGGTCATAAAGGTGAGTCCTCAGAATGGGACTAGTGTTTTCTAAAAGAAGCTCTAGAGAGTTCCCTAGCCTTTTCTGCCGTGTGAAGACACAGTGAGAAGTCACTGACTATGAACCAGGAAGAAGCACCTCACCAGAAGGTGACCATGCTGGCCCTTTGAGCACGTTTAAAAGCTACCCAGTTGGTGGTATTTTGTTATAGCAGTCTGAACAGACTAAGACAAAAACTTGGTTCTAAGAAGTGAGGGTGCTACTGTAACAAATACCAAAAAATGTAGAAGTGGCTTTGGAACTGGGTAATTAGCAGAGGCTGGAAGAACTTGGAGGTGCATGCTAGCGAAAGCCTACACTGCCATGAATGGACTGTTAAGGGCTATTCTTGTAAGGGCTCAGAAGAAGAGGAGAGTTGTAGAGAAAGCTTCAGTCTTCTTGCAGAATACCTATGTGGTAGTGAATACAATGTTGGTAGAAATATGGACAGGAAAGGTTATTCTGAAGAGGTTTCAGATGGAGATGAGGAGTATTGGAAACTGGAAGAAAGGCAATCCTTATTAGAATGTGGCAAGGAGATTGGCTGAACTGTGTTCATGTCCTAGTGTTTTCTGGAAGGTAGAACTTGTGAGCAATGAAACTGGATATTTGGTTGAAGAAATTTCTAAGCAAAGTGTTGAAGAAGCCACCTGGTTTATTCTGAATGCTGATAGTAAAATGGAAGAAGATTCTCTCGATGATTTACAGGTGGAATTGTTAACCAATAAGGATGCAGAACTCAAAAATTTGGAAAATCCTTATTACTATCTTACATTGTATATTTTACTCATTTACTATGTTTCTTGCCTGCTCCTCTCACAAGAATATAAGTTTCATGGGGGCAGGGATCTATTCGTTTCCTGGTGTATCCCTAGTGCCCAAAACAATGTCTGGCACAAAATAGGTACTCAATAAATGTTTATTGAATGAACCAATCATCAATGACTGTCAGTCATAGGCATCACATAGATTATGTCTTTTAATCCACTCAACTACCCCCTTTGTATTATTAGCCCCATTTTAAAGATGAGTAAATTGAAGCTTGGGGAGGTTATATAACTTGCTGAAGGTCACTCCACTAGTAATTGTAAAGACTGGATTCAAACCTAGATTGTATCACTTCAGAGCCCTTTTTCCTAACACTATGTGATACTGCCTCTTGTGTTCTGGAAGCTATGTTTTAAAAGACTGAAAAGTGAATTAATCCAGAGGAGGGTGATAGAAATGGTGACGGGTCTCTAAGCCATGTTATATGATAAGCTGTTTATGGAACCAGACAGGCTTTTTTCCACCTAAAGAAAAGCTTGACGTTCATGAGGGAGTGAATATGTGAGAACTAGATCCAAATATTTGAAGAGCTATAGTGTAAAACAAGAATTTGTTTATTCTATATAATCTGAAGGGCAGAAACTGGAATTAATGGAGCAAATAAAGAAAGTCAGCCTACTTATTGCTAGACGTACAGAACTGAGGATACAGGTAGGGATGATGCAGAGGGACACCTGTCCTGGGCTGTCAGGGTTTCTTGACAACTCTGTGACTTGTGGATTTCAGGCTGGCATAACTTCCCAGAAGAGAAGGGCAAAGGGAAATTCTGAAAGCAAGTTGTGTTAGATGCTAAAACAAGGCCAAAGAAAGTGAAAGGAGGAAAAGGCCTAGGTTGGGAAGAAAGG